TCTTTTCCACTTCCCCATGGACCATAGAAGAAATAAAGAAGAACAAGAGCCAGTATTTTATACCATTTCTCTCCACCATTAGCTTATGTGAGAATGAATGGAAGACTGACCACCAGATGAAGACAATATCCATGGGGTGAAATCTAAATCTTTCAATGACTGAACAACCATGTGCTGAACCCTGCAAGGCATGCAGCAAAGAAACATTCAGCACTAAGGTGCATCTCGTACTTCTTGACCCCAGTTGCTGTACAACTCCATGTGGTATAAGTTTGATCTCTCCTAATGTATGCACTATATAGTCTATCCCCCATCCCATCTACTTCTCAACAGGTTAAAGACTTATGAAGCCATTCACCTTGACCCTCGATCACAACTGGGTTGATTCATCATCTCAACATTTCCTCCAACATCGAAAAAAATTTCCTCAGTCTTATTGTTATTCACAGTGTTCTCAAGCCCTCACCCAAATCCCAACTTTGTGGACAACTATTATACAAGACAAGAAGCAATCAACTACATTCACTCCCTCTGATTCATATACAACAGCACCAGAGGCAACAGAAAAAGGAAATTCTGAATAGTCTGTAAATCTGGTAAGCATTGCAACAGACAATTATTTAGAATACAAAGGCAAATATCAATATGAAAAAAATTCTAAGCTTTTAAATGCAACTAGGCACCAGTAAGACAACTTAAAAATGGAAATAAACCAAGACAGAAAAATAAATGAACTAATAAACTAGAAAGACAGGTAAAAAAATGAGGATAGAGTAGAGGCAAATTGTGTTAGACAAAAGGAAACAATCTGCCAGCTATTAAAAATGTTGAATTAAAAAACAGGTAAAAATTATAATACTTTCACAGTTTTTTTTTTTTCAACAAGTCGGCCGTCTCCCACCAAGGCAGGGTGACCCAAAAAGGAAAGAAAATCCCCAAAAAGAAAATACTTTCATCATCATTCAACACTTTCACCTCACTCATACATAAACACTGTCTTTGCTGAGGTGCCCAGATACAACAGTTTAGAAGCATATATAAATATATATATCATATCCCTCTAAACTGCCAATATCCCAAACCCTTCCTTTAAAGTGCAGGCATTGTACTTCCCATTTCCAGTATTAAGTCCGGCTATATAAAAAATAACCGGTTATCCTGAATCCCTTTATTAAATATTACCCTGCTCACACTCCAACAGCTCGTCATGTCCCAAAAACCATTCGTCTCCATTCACTCCTATCTAACACGCTCACGCACACTTACTGGAAATCCAAGCCCCCTCGCCCTTTACCTCCTCCCTCCTACCTATTCGAGGACTACCCCTACCCCCCTTCCTTCCCCTACAGATTCATACGCTCTCCAAGTCATTCTACTTTGATCCATTCTCTCTAAACGACCAAACCACCTCAACAACCCCACTTCAGCCCTCTGACTAATACTTTTATTAACTCCACACCTTCTCCTAAAATTAAGTGATGGCAGTTTCATGATTAAAAGAAAAAAATTCCTTCTGAAATGGTAGAAAGCCTTTTTCTGAAAGTAGTGACACCATAAATATGAAATCTGATGGAAAACTCAATGAGATTCTGAAGGAACAAAGTTGGCAGTTTGAGTGCAATTTATGCATTAGCAATTTTGTCCACTAAGTTTTATTTTAAGCCAATTCCATTCCTCAATTCAACCCAATTCCTACATATTTCTCTAGTATGCCTTCTATTATATCGAGTGAGTACAAAGAGGTGTTTATTCAACTATCAGAACTATCATGTAAAGTGAACAGAATTCAGTAATTCTGCCAAATTTACCAAAAATTCAAAAGATTCAAATTTAATAAAACAGATTACAAAATAAACACTGTATACATTCCATCCACTAAAGCAACCTATGCTCTGTTCATTAATCATATCCAAGGCCTCTTCTATATTACATTTGCTCTCCATTTCAAATTCATCAACAGACAAAATTCAAATTTTTACCATTTTGTGTATAATAAAAATAACCAAGATTGGTTATGGTTTAGGGCATCCCAATAATTGAAGCATACCTAGTAAAAACCCAGGTAGGGAGTAGGGCACCTTACCTTTCCTCAAAAATAGCCCCAAATGAATATTTTTGTTACATTAAGCCCTATTTCAAGCTACTGTACTACCAGTCTTGAAACTGTCTAAAATTATCTCTGTATCATATGTCTTCCATTCTATCAACTGATACCAAGAAACAGCCAATAAAACAATAACCCCCCCCCCAAGAAAATCGCTCAAACTTGCTAATTTAAACAAAACACAAGGCCAGATGTTAGCTCTTCCCATCATCTACTGGGTGAGGGCAGGATTTTTTACACTGTGCACACTCACTGCAGAGACCCATTCTCTTATATCTAGGCCAAAATGTACCACTCACAAAATATTTGAGGGCAGTGTTTAAAGTGTAGATCTACATGAGTAACACTGGCATCAATAATGTAGATCTACGTAGGAGACTGTAATAGGGTTAAAAGCAAAAAAGAGGGGTTGTACAGATGGAACTAAGTGATACAAAGTAGTAAGTAAAAGTCAATAGATAAGCCAAACAGAAGCTCAAAGAAGACTAAGCCATTACCAGTAATGCAACAGGAATATGGGGGCATGGTAGTACAGGAAGGCCCTGCTTTACAGTGCTTCGCTTTACAGTGTTTCACTAATACAGCAGTTTTCAATTATACTCATTCTTCGTGTATTCAGGCTTCCTACAATAAATATATTCACCATTCACTATAAGCTAAGTACGAAAATACTGTTAAGGTAAATAGGTAACAGATGTACTGTAAACAAGGTTCAACACAAAAAAACGAGGCTGTGCCTATAACTCTTTTTACATTTAACAAATTGAGAAAATCAACTGATCACCTTCAAAATAATTCCCTTTTGATTTGACTATCAGCTGTATACAATGCTACCAATGTTCACAGCAATTCTGCAGATCATTTTCTGAAAGGCTGTCGTTTTTTATTTCACATCTTCTACCAAAAAAAAAAAATGGGGTTCCTTTGAGCACTGACTTGATCTTCGGGAAAAGACAGATGTCACAGGGAGCCAGGTCTGGCAAACTGGGAGAGTGCTCAAACACAGTGATGTTTTTATTACCTAAAAACTGCTGTCCAGACACAATTCCTTGCAACATTCTTTTTGTTCATCTGACAACATTTTTGGAACCATTTCTGCACAAACCTTTCTCATGTTCAATTCTTCCATTAGAATTCATTGAACACTCCCTGTCCAAACGAACTTCGCAGCTATTGCTCGAACACCCAACCTTCTGTCTTCTCGAATCACATCTAGCCTTTTTTCAATGTTGTCATTGGTAACTGCTGTGCGTGGACGGCCTGGGCGATCATCATCCTTCATGCTTTCTCTGCCATCAGAAAATCATTTGTGCCATTCAAAAATGTATGCACAAGACATGCACTCTTCACTGTAAGCCTCAGTCAATAACTGAAAAGTTTCCATTTTGGATTTCTTCAGTTTCACAAGAAACTTGATGTTAATTCGCTGTTCACCTTTGCACAACATTTTCTGACCAAGGGAAAGAAAACATCTATATCTGAAAGCGCATTCACTCGTACTGAGTGAAGCAATCAAGTTGAGCCTTGTCTTGCTGTGACAGGTTAGAACATGTTCTATAATCATCTCTCTCTCCCCTCCCACTCTTGGTTCCTGAGCTATCAAGTTATTCTCTTTTTTTTTTGTGTTGGACCTCATATTCATTTTTAAAACCTAGCTCTATTGCTCAATTAATATATGATAGTGTAAACATGTTATCATACTTTCATATGCATTTGAAAGTGAAAAAAAAAAAAGGAAATGTTTCACTATATATACAACAGTAGCCTGAAAACCTAAAGTACTGTATAAGCGAGGCCCCTCCTGTACATTAAAATCCCAAGTGAGCCACAACAAATTTAAACCATTACTTTACCATTAGCAATAAAAATCAAAGCTGAATGAATGGAACAATGACAACAATAAGTAAAATCCAATGATATTCCGAAGTACACTGGGCAGTTACATTATGTTATATAACTGAAAATTTTGAGGTAGAAGCAAAAACAAGAGCCTCCATTTTCCTCACAAACTCACACGGAAAAACCAGTAATTACACACAGGAATTTTCATTATGCACAATTCTCCTAAACACTGCAAATATTTTTTTTAATTTAGAATGTTGTTTTAATTTAGAATAATCTCTGAAATTTGGACAATTTCAAATTTCTAATTAGGAAAATATAATTAAAAAATTTCATGGGAAAGCAAAGAATGTTTTCTGAAATGTTGCATTCAGAACATTTTCTGAAATTTAAATTCTGAAATTTTAACAAGAATTCTTATAAATTCCAATGACTATTATTTTGTATTTTTTTTTTTAAATTCAGACACTACTGAGCAATAAGCAATCCAAATAAAACAGACATCACTATATTGCGCTGTATATACTGCACAGGCATGTTTACGGTATACATAAAATTAAGAGTACAGTCAGCCCTCCGAATTTGGGTGAATTAATTTTCTAGAGGTTTCCACAAATACATACCACCATATATATTGTAGTTATATACATATAAATAATTCCGCTTTAGGTCTGGGTTCATTTTGTTTCTAAGATGCCATCTCTTCCTATATATTCACATTTATAAAAAGAAAAAGAAAATCCAAAACAGAGAAATTCAGGCACAGGATATTCAACTACCACATTTTCAGTAAAATCCCATGGTTGATTTTCAATTTAGGGAACAAACTAAAACATGAGGCAAACAAAAAAAAAAAATTAAAACTATTAACAGAAGACCCTTCAGTCAAAATGAGTGGTGATCAACATTAGGGACTTAAGGAAACCATGAATTTGGAAGGCTGACTGTATGTACTTGCATAATTCACAATATTATGCCACCTGTTGAAGTTGTGGATATAAATGATGTACAGCATATTATTAATGAAAAAACACTAAAATACTGTATCTTTTACCAGCTTTTCACATAGTACTTTTCCTTCCTTTCCTGGCGGGTGCCTCCACACCCCCTGAAAATGGGAAATATGTAGAGTTGATGATGATGATGATGATGGATAGTTGATGATGACCAATGATGTTTATCAGTGATATTTATCAATGATGATGTTTATCAATGATGGTTGATGATAATACACCAAATGAATGAAATATATGTATATTTTTACTATATCACAAGTTGCATATAAGCATCACTAAATATTTAATAGTATAGGGTTAAAACTACTGTTAATTAAAAATCCAAACACAGTTAAACTCACTCTTTAGTATCTAATTTCTTCCTCCCTCTTTTTGGCGCAGGTGCAGACTCACTGGTAAATGAATCAGGAGAGGATGCTCCTGAGTCACGCCCACCAGCATCCCTTACACCTCCAGGCCGTCCTCGCTTACCAATACCACGCTTAGATCTCCGTCCTCGCTCCTGACTGCCAGACCTAGGTATGAAGTAGTGCATATTAACAATCAGGGTTGAACTAAGGTCTTCAAAATTTGAAGCAACCAGTATTCATAAAATCACTTGTAATTCACTTTTTTCTTTGTAAAGTACACCTTAACACTGTCTCAGATATTTTATCAAATGACACTATCTTGTAATGATAAACTGGAAATAAATATGCAGTACAACTATTCTTAGAGTACAAGTCGTCCATCACTAATTTGGCAATTAGTTATCTGGTTCCATCAGTAATCTGGCACTAATTTCAGCTGGCATAATTTTCAAATTGTGCAGATGGTTGTAAATCCACAGCAGCAAGCCAGTGGAAGAGAAAGCAGTGATGAAAATGAGGAAGATGTAGCAGTCTCTCTATTGATAGGTTAAATTAAGTGTATTCTAACCTAACCACTCTGGAATCCTTCAAACGCACTAATCCAGCACACTACAGGTCTCAATGATGCCGGACTAGTGATGGCCGACCTGCACCTTCTTTAAATACTTACGAAATGTACTGTACAATACAGTGGACCCCCGCCTTATGATATTATTTCATTCCAAAGTCTGTTCAGGTGCTGTTACCGAACGAATTTGTTACCATAAGGAATGTTGTGAATTAGATTAGTCTGTTTCAGACCCCCAAAAATACACGTACAAAAGCACTTGCAAAAATACACTTACATAATCGGTCGCATTGGGAGCTGATCGTAAGGCGGGGTTCCACTGTACTTGTATTCAAAGCAAAGGCCCCTCCCTCCCTTAATGTTTAACCTGTCAACATTATTAAGCAAAAAATGCACTGTCTGATTCTACAAAAGAGTACCAGTCACTAATCCCAAAGAAAGAGGGTGAAATAGAATTATGATGAACCTAACAAATCTCTAGTTTTGATCTACTGTACTGTCTCCTGTTTGACAGTCCTTAACCTAGTAAAAATCTGTATTCCAGCAATGAGTAATGAAAAGGTAGCCAGCACCACAATGGCAATATTTGGCAATGACTGACCAATAATTAGTTGCTGCTACTGTGCAAAGGTTATTCCTTATTACATACATAAATATTTAAACAGTACACTGTCAGCCAGAGCACAGCCTGATTGCATGAGTGTCTTAGTGCAATTAAGAGTCAAGCCAATACACACACTCATTACCATTAAACTCGGATCAAGCAGCATCTCATAACCCACTCAGGCTGATTTAAAAGAGCATATGTGAAGCCATCTTTCACAAACCCCAAAAAAGTGTATTTTGTGTTACATTTAAGTTCACGAAAAATGTCACCTGACACAGCTAAAAAAAAAATCAGGGAAGCAACAGAGAGCCTTAGTGCAAAACAGTGCCCCAAAAAACAATTCAATTCTGTGGCTCGCAAACTGGAAACGATGAAGTGCGTCTACTACCTAACTGAATTTCCCTCTCCCGGGTTCAAATGACTTAGGCAAAAAAATAAAAGTGAGAATAAAGATGTTTTTTAAAGTCAATTTTTGGCTTGATTAACCCTTCATTTTTGGGAAAAAGCCCGAATTTAAGTGTTCATAGTACTACAAGCAGTTTTAAAAAAAATTGTTCTGAAATGAAAGTACTTTTTGTGGGGTAACACCACCAAAAATTAAAATTTGGGGGGAAAAAACGGAATTACAAGGTACAAATTTTGCAGTGATCAAATTTTAGTATTTCTTCTTTCCCACAACCCGGCACAAGAAACTGTAAATTTATTCAAAATTTTCTAAAAAGGGCAAAAAAGTTAGTAATTTTGGCCCAAAATTTTAATTTTTTTTTTTTCGATTTAAAAAAAAGAGTCCCAAAAAAAAATGTAGACATTCAGGGACTAAAACCCTTTCCTCTTTTTAATAAACTAACCCTTTTTAATTTTGACCCTTTTCCATCTAAAAAAACTAAAAGTTCTTTTTGGGGAATTTTTTTTTTTTAACTGCCTCCACTACAGGGGCCCAAAAAAAAAAAATCCCCAAAAAAATCTTTCACATCAAAAACCTTTACCCCCCCAAAAAACTTTTTTAAATCTCAAACCCGCTTTAAAGCTAAAAAAAAGTCCAACATACCCCCCAAAGCATTCAAACCCCTCCTTTTTCCCAACCCTTTTTGACCTCGGCCCTTTAAAAAATTGGTTTCCTGAACCCCCCAAAAAATTTTCCCCTACACCCAAAATTCCAACCAAAACATTGCCCTTTCATTCAACACTCCAGCCCTGCGGGAATCCAACCCCCCAAAAAAAAAAAAAATTTACCCCTTCCTTCCCCTTTTGGGGCCCCCCCCGTTTTTTCCCCAAAAAAATTAATAAATATTTGTCATGCTTTCCCCCCCATTAATTAAATTGACTTAATAAAAACCCACAAAACAGGGGGGGGGGTTTTACAGAGGGCCTACCTCCCCCCCGGGGAAAAACCCCAAAAAAATGACCTTTTTTTGATACTTTGGGCCAATTTCAGCTACAAAGGGACCTCAGTATACGTCCGGTTGGAATAAGTCAAATTGGTATACTCCCGTTTTTTGGACCAAAAATTTTTTCTTGGTATACGACCTTTTTAAAAATTTTGATCACGTGCTAGAATTTTATGGGTCAAAATGAGTTATGACACCCAAGCTCACCCCTGTTTACCTCTTTCAGACAAAGTCATGACTGGCCCCTAGCGTCAGTCGCCCATTGCTACCTTCAGTGAACAAACCCCCCTGTAACTCTGAATTTTCCATGATTTTGAGTTTTTTTTTTTTGTATAAATTTTTTGTAAAATTTTTAACCAGAGTTCTAAGAAAGTTTTTGAGAAGAGCCAAGTAAAAAAGAAAATTTTTAGATCACCCGGAGGTGAAAAAAAGAATTCTGAAAAAATGAAGGTGGCAGTGTTTCCAGGACTTTCGCTGCATACTGTAGTGGGAAACAATGGGATTACGATTGTGAAAAAAAAAAAATGTTAAAAAATGGTTACATTTTGAAAAAAGGGTAAAACCTTACCAAAAAAGATCAGGGACATTAGGGCATGTTGAAAAATTGTTTTTTCTAGTAACAGAAAAATTTTTGTGCCAGCAATAGCGTTCAAGGAATGATTTGGAAAAATAAAAAAATGATGCATTTTTGACTTTTGTAAAAAAAGGTGGGAACGGCCAAGAAAATTTTTAAACCACCTGGCTAATTTGATAATTTAAGAAGAGGGGCTGGCATTCACAGCATTGTGAGGCATGAAGAGGGAGCAAGTGCTGATAAAGATGCCACCAATGACTTTGTTACAGAGTTTGGGGAATTTGTGGAGGTTGAGGGTTTTGTTCCTCAACAAGTTTTTAATTGTACAAAACGGGACTTTTTTGGAAAAAAAATCCAAAAGGGCCCTATTTTACCAAGAGAAGGCATTACCGGGGACACAAGCCAATGAAGACTTGGTTAACTCTCTTGTTCTGTGCCAATGCAAGTGGGGATTGCAAACTGAAGCCTCAACTGATCTACCACTCCGAAAACCCAGGGGGGCCTTTAAAAAACACAATGTGCAGAAAACTCAGTTACCTGTGATGTGGAGGATAAACAGCAAGGCTTGAGTAACAAGACAATATTTCAGAAAATGGTTTGATGTTGTGTTTGGGCCAAGTGTAAAAAGTTACTTAGAGAAAAACCTGCCTCTGCAGGCCCTCCTCATAATGGACAATGCTCCAGCTCACCCTCCAAGCTTGCAGGACTATGTGCTGCCGGAGTCTACTTCATCACTGCAAAATTTCTCCCCCCTAACACGACTCCTCTCGCTCAGTCCATGGATCAGCAGGTCATCAGTAATTTCAAGAAACTCTACACTAAAGCACTATTCCAGAGGTGCCTTGAAGTGACCTGACACAGTTAACCCTGAGTGTGTTTTGGAAAGATCACTTTACTCTCTTCCACTGTATAACTCTCATTGACAAAACTTGGCATGAAGTTTCACACAGAACAATGAACTTTGAGGCTGTGTCTATAGTGGAGGATATTTTCTCTCTGGGCAGGTCCATAGGTCTGGATGTGAGTGATGGTGATGTGGAAGAGTTAGTGGAGGGGCACAGGGAAGAGCTGACCACTGAGGAGCTGCAGGAACTTGAGGAGGAGCATAAGACTAAGATGGATGCACTCTTCAGGCTTGGAAGAGGAGATAGAGGAAGTCCCTACTTCATTCATCAAGGAAATCTTTGCCAAATGGATGGACGTCAAAAACTTTGCAGAGAAGTACCACCCCAAAAAAGGCCAAACAAGCTGTAATAGCACTGTCTGGAATGACCAGACAATGTCACCTTTCCGAAACATACTGAGGAGAAGGCAAAAGCAAAGTTCTTTGGACAGACTTTTAGCAAAAGTCAAACCAGGTGAGCTTCAACCAGGTCCAAATAGGAAAAAGAAACAGAAAAGAGAAGGGAACTCTCCTTCCAAACAATAACATTTCCTCCTCCTACCCTCTCAGCACCATCCTAGTAGGCACTCGACTCTTTTCAGCAAAGTAAAGCGAGGTTAAATTTGCATTTATTTCATCTAATTCTTATGTATGTATTTTAGTATTAAACAGTTTAAATTACATATTTTAGTATTAAGCAGTGTTTAAATTATTTTATACAACCCCATCAATGTATAATATGCCAATAACAATAGGATGTTTTTTTCATGGGAACGGATTAATTGTTTTGCCTATATTTCTTATGGGAAAATTCATTTGGTATACATCCAACATCCTGGGACGGATTAAGGACATATGTATACCAAGGAACCCTTGTACAGTGAAACCCTGATTTTCATACTTATCCATTCCAGGTCATTCTAAATCCGAAACGTACAAAAACCAAAGTAATATTTCCCATAAGAAATATTGTAAATCCAATTAATCCGTTCCAGACACCCAAAAATATTCCCCAAATTATTCATTATTTAAAGAAGAGCTATAGTTTTACAAACAGAAAACAATGAGAAATAAAGATAAAGCACTAATTTTAATGATAAATGAACATTACATATCTTTATTAAAGGCTCTTGTTGGCGTATTGA